AATTTTTTATAAAAGCATATATACCTCCTTTAGCGCATAAAATGCAACTATTATTATTAAATAATAAATAATTATTTGATACCATATAATGGTAATATATTTTTAGCAAGATAAATATCATGACGGATGCAATCGAAAAAATTAATCGTATTGATCCATTGGTTACATTGGAAACCGAACTAGACAAAATTGACTATAGTAAATTTCAAGCTGAGTCAAAAAATGTTGGAACAAGTACTGGTCAAACGATGTACGTAGACTTTGGTAGAATAGACTTTGTTATTAACGAAAAAAAAATAGATAGAACTCTAATCTATTCGTTAAAAGAAGGCGTGCAATTTAATAAAAGCAACAGTGATAACATTTTTGATAATTTATGGAAGGATCACTACGAAAATCCCCATATTTCTAATGGTCAAAAAACTGCATCATACAAGGAAGAATTTGAAAAATTTTATAATATTGGAAAAGAGCTTGCAGCTCGATTACCAATAGCAAATGATAAAAATAGGTACTATCGCCTATTTGCAAAAGAAATTTTTAAAGAAATGTTTAAATATACTAATGATGAAACATCAATACCAAATGATGCCATTTTAGACGAACTAATAACCAATTGCAATCAAGGCGGCTATATAGGGGCGTTATACAGCGATAACAAACCTTATTACCATTTAATGGTAACACATAATTTAATGGTTAATTCTAATCCTATATTACACATTAATTGCAAGACGCAAGATAACGTAATAGTTAGTCTCAATGAGAAAGTGACTATTACACCCATTGGCATAAAGAAGAAAATATGTGATTTTAGTAGCTCATTAAATTTTACACTTGAATCTAAAGATGGCAAAAATATAACATGTAAGGATGGAAAATTCTCACTTGCTGTTCCTACAAGACTAAAAAGTTATAATGTAAATAATAAAAACTTTTTTTATGCCATAAGGGATTGTTTTCAAAAACTTTGTGAAAAATTTGGGTTGTGTAGAAGGAAAATAGAACGTAGTTTTAGTCAAATGTCAGAAAGTGGTCATTTGGACAATATAAGAACACCAACTACACTTATAATGTGTAGACCAAGATCAAATACCATTTGATGATTTCTCATCTTTATTGCAAGTTGTGTATGCAAACAGTGCTTTATTAGATCTCTAACAAATCTATTTATGATGGTAATTTTATCGTCAATACACATATACACCGCGCTGGCTGGCCCTTCTATGCACCCCCTTCTCTCATCATAAATAGATTTGTTAGAGATCTAACGTAATCATTTTACAATAAAATTGTAATTTTTTATTTCTATATACCGTAGTAATTCCATTAATAGCTTCGCTAAAAACTTGAATTACTTGAAAAAATAATACATATTTTTGAAATAGAAGTAGAAATTTTATGAAAAAAGTAATATTCTCAAGTTTAGTTTGTAATACTCTATTATGGTATGACCATATGATTTTTGGCCATCTGGCAAATATCATTGGCAGCATCTTTTTTCCATCAGATGATTCTTTAATCAGTATATTGAAGGCTTTTGCAGTATTTGCAGTAGGTTTTTTCATGAGACCAATAGGCGCTGCTGCATTTGGTCATATTGGTGATAGGTATGGAAGAAGAGTTGCATTGTTACTTTCAATTGTACTTATGACTCTATCAACTGTCTCAATTGCTTTTATTCCAGGATACGAGAGTATAGGAGTGCTTGCATCAATACTCATACTCTCTTTGAGATTGCTTCAGGGAATATCTCTCGGCGGAGAAGCGGGAAATGCTCTATTTTTAATAGAATGCGCCCCTAAAAATAAAAGAGGTTTTTTTGGTAGTATTGAAGTATTAAGTGCTATTCTTGGCTCAGTGTTAAGCCTTGTATCCATATTAATATGTAAAAAAATATCTGACTTTGAAGCTTGGGGGTGGAGGTTAACTTTTATTTTAAGCTTAATAATAGGATTGCTCAGTATATATATGAGGTACATGCTGGATGAAAGTCCTGAATATAAAAAACAAAAAAATCAACCTAAACTACCACTGAAAGAGCTATTTCATAACTACAAAAGACCTCTTCTTATATCAATAGGTGTTGATATAGTTGAAAATTCATCTCTCTATATGTATCTAATATTTTTTAGTGCTCTCACAGAAAATATATCCAACCGTTTTAACCATACANATAATATTGGAATAGATCTTAACAATATGTTATTGGCTATTGGAAGCTCCATATTAACAGAGTTAATGAATTACTCCAAAAACCCCCCAACCTCTACAAACCAAAATCCAAGCAATCCATACGGAGCACCAACGAAGTTAAAAACTTCATGAAAACTACTGCAGTCTTGTCAAGTCGAGAAAAAATCCGCCTAAAATGTTTTATCTTACAAAAAAAATACTCGATAAAATGCCTCTCTTTATAAACGTATTCGTAATAGTATCTCCGCGCTTTTCGATTTCTTTTTAGAGGAGTGCATTGCTATAGCAACCCTTATCGGCTACTAAAGTAGAGTTTGAACATTTTCAGTCAATGTTTTAGCCTGTGTAATATCATTTTTTTTGATTAAGAGTAGTTGTAAATTTTAGCGGATTTCCAGGGCCTCAACAAGTGCATATATCTTTAACCCCCCAAGAAACAACTTGAAGAGAATTACTTAAGTAGATAGTGTCCCGCAACCAAAAAGCTGTTAGAAGAAGTGCTTTGGGTTTACAATGCGAGTAATAATGTTGAATCTTATGTTATGCTCCTTATCAAAGTTGCGATAGACATTTGATATAATGTTAAAAATCTTGATCTCTCGTATCTTATTTTTCACCCCCACCATTAACGATATCAACTTCCGATTATGTTCCTTTTGTTCTGATGTTAGATGTTAGCGGTTTTTTTTCTATATTTTTGTATAGTAATTTTTTTTTGGCTAATAATGACTCCATTTTCTTCAGTAGTAAGCAGATATTTGAGTTGTGCAAGTTAAATAAAAATCCCAAAGATGGATGTATTATGCATGAATATTTCGCCTTCTAGTGTTTTACCATGCGATTTTCTTCCGTACCCTTTCTTTTTTTGCCTCCATTTTTCCAAATTCTTCTATTTTTTAAACCCTTAATTGTCTAAAATACAAGGGGTTTTGCCACTTTTTCCTTGTTTTGTAGGGGGTGAAGATTTTCTTCCTGTTAGTTGTGACAAGTCCCACAATGATAACTGGCGTATATAGCACTCCTATTCAATTAATAATTGAGAGATTGTTTTCTATAGCTGACCATACACCATCCAGAATTTGGATTTTACGATTATATTATCATTTATTTAACAAAATAGAGGTATAATCTCGTACTTAGTTACATGGAGGATTAGATGAATAAACCAACACATAATGCGAAAATAAGTAAATCTCGGGTTACTAAATGGGAAGTGATAAAGAATTGTCAATATACTGACAATCACTTGTCAAAAATAATAACTTTATATGTGATTAAGGCGACCCAATTGCCAGATCTTCATACAGAAGAGCAACTTGAAGTTAGTACCACTTTAGTAAGAATGAGCGTAGCAGATGAAAATATATTTTTTCACAAAGCCGTTGCTATTGAAATTATGAAAGAGATTTTTCCATATAAATTTAGTAGCAAAAAAAAGAATAATATATCCAGGTTAGAAGACTTGTATAATCACTTATGTTCTATTATTAGTAATAGCCTTCCAAGGGAGATACTTGAAAGCTTAATAAAAGAATATAGGAATTCTGTTAATCTATTGAGAACAATTATTTAATACTTTAATCTAGTACATTAACCATGGTGTATAATTTACCAACCCATAAAATGATAGCTTCTTTGTGCTGCTAAGATACGATTAAGGGAATTCTCAGCACTCAATAATCGTTTAAAAATAAAAAAGTGTAAATACAGATAAGAGATGAGTATAGTATACACAAGAGAAAAGATTCAGAGTAACCACAGAATATAGACCATAAGATAAACAAGGCGATAAAAGATAGAGAATAACTTTATTTCTTGTTTACATTTGTGGCTTTGTATATAATATAATATATACAAAATTTTTTAAAAAGAAA